TTGATAAAAGAATGCTCTTTATTAGTCCAATGGTGAGGATTTTTTTCTTTACAATGAGATGTAATCCATATCGAAGGCTGTGCTCTTTGATCTTCATCGGTAAATGCTTTAAGTCCTCTTCACTTTCAGCAAGCAAGGTTGTATCATCTACATATCGCAGGTTATTAATGAGTCTTCCTCCGATCCTGATGCCACGATTTTATTCATATAACCCTGCTTCTCGGATTATTTGTTCAGCTTACAGTTTGAATAAGTTTGGTGAAACACTACAACTCTGTCACACACCTTTTCTAATTTTAGCCAGGTCCCAGGACGGTCAGCCCTTGGCCGGGGGAACGCGCTCCTGGGAAGGGCTGTCAGGGTCGCAGGAGCAAGGCAGGCAGGACAGGTACCTGCTTCGGGAGGGTTCCTAGTAGGACAGCGCCGCGATCCCCGCCCTAGGAGAAGCGGGACCGGCACCAACTTCGCCTAGCCGTTCACCGACGGCGGAGGCGGCCGAGCCATCTCCACACTCGGCTCTTTTGCCACCCCTCGCGAAGCCCGCAGCCAATCAGGCTCCAAGTCGCTCCGGGAGCGGCGCCCACCCGCGCCAGCCCCGGTGAAGCGCCAGGCCTGACCGTGACCGTTGTAGCTCTCTATTTGGGCCTCGCCCCTTTCTCACCTCCCATGGACGGCAGAGGATGCCCTGTCTGAACACTGCCTTCGCAGCGCCAGTGGCAGCTGTCGCCACCTTCAGCGCCATGACAGAAAGTGACAGCGGCCCGATGTCTATTGCGTGAAGCTACTGCTCTCGCGAGAGTCCTGCGTGGGCAGGAAGTCCCTGGACAGCCGCAGGCCCGGCAGCACGCACGCGCGACCCCGCCTGTTCCCACGCCCACTTCCGGCGCTGGAGGCGCTGCCGCCGCCATCTTGGGGGTGGCTTACTGGGCCCCAGCCGGGGGCGGAGGACACGTCAGTGCTGCCGGCTACGTCACGTGGGTTGAGCCAGCCCCCGGGCGCTTGATTGGGTCCCGGAGCCGCTGATGCGTCGCGCTCCGTAGTCCACCCTCGTGCTCTGGGAGTCCGCTTTCTCTTCCCCTCGGCCGAGAAGAGGCGATGGCGGCGGTGGCAGCTCTCGGAGCTCTGGCTTTCCTCTTGCTGTCCGGCCACACCTGCTGCTCAGGTAGCGGCGTAGCCGATGCCTGTGCGGGCGCCCCCGCCCTGGCAGGTTGTGCGTGGGGGGCGCAGTGGGGGGCGCGGGCTTGCCTTGCCGCTGGCGGCACCCCTCTCCCCCCGTTGGTCCAACAGCCACATGTGTCACCTGTCCCTCATGTAGAAAATAGTCGCACAGCCTCCATGCGCGTCCCGTACCTTATTCCCCGCTGTCGACCCAGAATGGGAGGCCGGCTTCCCTGCCGGGGCAACCTTAGAGAAGTGGGGTGCAGCCGAGGGCCACGGGCCAAGCTAAGGGAAGCGGCAGCAGCCGCCGGGCGGGCAGGAGGGGAATCCGCGAGACCACTGGGAAGGAGGAGGTGCAGGGCTGCTTCCCGGCCGGAGCCCACTCACCTCTGGCCAGAGTACTGAAGTGACCGCTGTGTTGACGGGAGGCGAGCGTACCTTGCCTGTTCTGACCCACCCACCCCTCCTGGTTCTGCACACCTGTCAGGCCCCCACAACTGCACAGGAAAGGGGCCCAGCCTCTGAGCTCCACAGTGGCAGCTCCTGCTCTGCTAGGATGCCTCTTCTGCACAGCACGGGGCTCACAACTTAGCCACTGGGGGAGCTTCGCACCGTGTATCGCAGGGGGCACCGTGCCCCACGTGCACATGGCGAAGGCAGCTCAGTGTAAGGGGACAAGTAGTGCTTCATCCAGAGCCATCTGGGCTGGATCTCAACTTTGCCAACCGCAGCAGGTTGCCATCATCTCCAGTGCACCTGGTACTGTCAGCTGCGGGCAGACTGTCGTCTGTCTGTCCAGGCACTGGCCGTCACACACTTGTTTGTAGTTAACAACTGGATTGAGATCCCGCCTGGACAAAGACTCCCTAGGCAGAGTCAGAGGTCCCATGTGTCCTCAGCTGCCACGGTCCTGGAGACCAGGCCAGTCCCTTCTGCCCCTGGCGCCAGCAGGCCCAGCAAACCTTGCTCAGAGACCTGCCTTCTGTGCCCCCGGCCCACAGCAGAGGCCTGCACGGAGCCCCGGATCACGCCTTCCTACTACACCACTTCCGATGCCGTCATCGCCACGGAGACTGTCTTCATTGTGGAGATCTCCCTGACCTGCAAGAACAGGGTCCAGGTGAAGCTGCCGTGTGCCATGTGCCCCCACTGGGTCCTTGACAGGGGTGGCTTCATCTGAACAGGACACGAAGGGTGCTGTGTCTCGCCTGTCTTGTGGGATTGGGCTATGCTGGGGATAATGGGCTGGGTGCCTTGTTCTCTGTGTGGGAAGCAGCAGTCTGGGCCCGGCCTCAGGCCCCTTTCTCCCCTGTCTGGCTACTGGTGGCCAAAATGGGGGTTGCCAGTGGGTGTCATGGAGGTTTGAAGAAGGCAGTTGGCCGTTTGGGGGCATGAGCCCCTTGGCTCTCCTGTCCGTGGGGGTTGTGGCCTTGTTGCCCCCTCATCAGAACACATTGCAGCTCCTACTGTGCCCGTAGACTATGGGTGCTGAACAGCCTCCTTTCCCTCTCACACAGAACATGGCTCTTTATGCCGACGTCAGTGGAAAACAGTTTCCTGTCACCCGGGGCCAGGACGTTGGGCGTTATCAGGTAAAGGGCAGGACTTGAAGCCTAGGGGGTGGCCCAGCCGATTGCAGTTGGGTGTTGCTGTGTCTACTCCGACTGCCTCCACAAACTCCCCTCCAGGTGTCCTGGAGCCTGGACCACCAGAGCGCCCACGCAGGTACCTATGAAGTCCGATTCTTCGATGAGGAGTCCTATAGCCTCCTGAGGAAGGTGCGCTCCCCTGGGGACTCAGGGCCGGCCGCCAGGGCAGGTGGGCGGGCGGCCTCACTGACTGCACTGTCCCAGCATTCCCTGAGCCACCTCCTCTCCTAGGCTCAGAGAAATAATGAGGATACCTCCTTCATCTCGCCCCTGTTCACGGTCAGCGTGGACCACCGGGTGAGTGGGCTAAGGGACAGGGCAATGGGGAACCTGCTGGAGGGGGTTGGCCTGTGTGGCCTGGTACCCACCTGCCTCCCAGGTCACTGTCAGCTTTCTTCTCTTGCAGGGCACCTGGAATGGGCCCTGGGTCTCCACCGAGGTGTTGGCTGCCGTCCTTGGCTTGGTGATCTACTACCTGGCCTTCAGCGCAAAGACCCACATCCAGGCCTGAGGCCCCATGGCAAAGTGCAGTGGCTCCGGGCCGTTGGTCTTTAATAAATCCCCCTGGGCCTTCCCGAGTAGGCCGGAGGCTGCACGTTTGTGTCACCGCGCCTCACCACTTACGAGAGCTGGGAGCCACAGCCTGTGCACCCGAAGGCTGAGGGGCTAGGACTTGGCTCTCCATGCACCATAGGGGTTACTCCATCCTTGGCCCCATGGGCAGTACCGTTTTCGAGTTTCCTGTGTTGCTAGTGCTGTGGGGCATGGATGGTGGCAGTTTTCCCTGATGGAGGGGCCTCTCCCTTGCCCAGGTGTGTGGGAGAGCAGCTTCAAGTGGCTAGCAGGGAAGGACCCTCTGTTTGGGGGCTGGGAAGCAGGCAGGAGGGCTTCTGGGAAGAACATTGGCCCCACCCTAGTCTAGGGGAGCCTTCTCCAGCTCCTTGGGGAGCAGCCTGGTTTTCCAAAGGGCCCTGTGCTTGGGGTCCTTTGTGTAAACCCTACCATGTGAAATGCTTTCCTTGTTCTTGTCACCACAAGGGTCCGCAGAGTGACCGCCCTTTCTTAACAATAGGTCTGACAGCCACTTAGCCACACAGCTGTCCTGGGAACTGGAGCGAGTCTCGGACCCACTTCAGTGACGTTGCCCCCTGTGCACTCCAGACTGCCCCAAGCGTTTACACTCGGGGGTCGGCTTTGCCTGGAGCCTGTAGAAAACCGGCGAGGAGAAGGGCCCCCCCTCATAATCACTCGCGCGTTTCCTTGGTCTTCATGTGTGGCTACAGGGACCCCCGATGTCCCCAGTGGGTGGCACTCAAGAACTGAGGTTTTGACTCAGTTCTGGAGACTGGGGGGGTCCAAGTCGAGCCCTGGGGAGGGTGACTCCTTGTCAGGATCAAATTTAGACCCCACCCCCACTCCAGTATGAGCGCATTCACAGAATAAAAGAGAGTAGTGGTTACGAATCGGGCTGCGAACTGCAAGGTCGGCAGTTCAAAACTACCAGCTGTTCCGCGGGAGAAAGATGAGGCTTTCTGCTCCTGTAAAAGATGTAGATGTACAGCCTCGGAAACCCTGTACGAGGTCGCTATGAGTCGGAAGTGACTCCACGGCACATAACAACAACAACAAATTTTCCCCAAGCTGGGTCCCATTCACTGATACAGGGCTAGGACCAGAACAGAGGTGTCTGGAGACACAGTGAAGCCCCCAACAGCCTTGTCCCTTTTTCCTCACTGAATACCCAGGGCTTCAGGTCACCCTGAGCTCAAAGTATTTCAAGGCTTGGCACACACTGGGAGCCTATGAAGCTGTGTCAACTCGCTGGCTCTCTGGGGACAGTGACAGGACGAGGGAAAAGGCCACACCAACTATGCCCAGTGGGCTGAGTGACCCATAGAGCAGGCCAGACCCAGTGCTGAACAGGGGTGGGTGCTGCTGGGGTATGTGAGCACTGACAACTCTGAGGAGGTGGGCAGTTGTGCCCTGCCTTCTGGTGACTGTGGGTGCAGGACATGAGTAAGGGTCAGGCCAGTGAGTGGCCAAGGTGGGCAGGGTAGTGGCAGCCGTCTGCTTCCGGGTTGCTCTTTTCGGTCTGGCTCCGCCTTCCCCACCAGGGGGCAGTGGGACCAGGACCAGTTTTCCAAGGCCTAGGGCTGTGCTAACCAAAAGCTGCCAGCCCTTCTGGCGCCACCCTCCTGCTAGCTTGCAGAGCCAGCGCCAGCCTGCTCTGCCAGCACTGGCGGCTCCCACCACACCTTTTCAACCAGTAAGGGCCTGCTTCCAGCCTGCCTGGGCCTGCCTTCTGTCAGCACCAGAGGGAGCCATCAGCAGTGCCAGGGCATAGTTTGCTTCTGTTATTCCCAGATCGGTCCCGTCCAAGGTACAGTGGCTGCTCTTAGTGCCAGGGGGGAGGGGGAGGCTCTGCGGAAGGGGGGCAGAAAGCCTGGTTTTCAGCCTCAGCACCTTTCCCTGCCAGTCTTGTCTACCTTCCCTGAAGGGCCACCAGTGTTCCTGGGCCTGTATAGGACACATATCCCCTCTTGCAAGTGCAAGAGTAGGCCTTTCCCCATAGCTTCTCATGTCCACTGTGGCCCAGACTCCAGAACTTCCAATTTCAAGAAAAACTGTGACTACATCTTCCCCCATTTCAGCTCTGGTGGGTTGGTTCACAAGCTGTCTGCCTCTAGGGGGCACTATCCACAAGACCGCCCAGCCCCATCCAGGCACTGTGGAGGACAGGGGTTCCCCAAGTGAGAAAGGCACATGCTGGCACCAATGGCAGCTGCTTTGGTCTTCCAGAAACTTCCATCCTCTTGCACTCCCACCCCCACCCCAGACCTTGTCCTGGGGGCACCTTAAGGTGGACCCCACCTTGTCTACCCTGCTCCTAGAGTGAGAGCCAACAGAAGCAGTGGCAACGGTGGTCTGGTTTCGGGGACCAGTCCTTGACCTAGAATCTGTTACCCTAAGAGCCTCAGTACCTCCCTGCCCCCGTCTCCCACCTCTGAACCACCTCAGACACCCTCCACATGCCACAGGCTGGTACTGCGACAGTCCTCTGCCATGGCAGCATTGCCTGTGGCCACGGCCACCAAGAGAAGCAGCGTCCCTCTCAGTTTCCCCCTGGATTTCGAAGGACCTTGCTGTTCTCACCCCACAGACAGCCCCCTGAGAATGACCACAGGAGGCAAAGATCCCACCAAGTAAAAAGGCAGCTTGCTTTATTTTCCATCTGCAGCTGACAAGCAGGGCTGGGGCAGCCTATCTGCCTCCAATCCGGAGCTCCAAGCTGGAAGGGCCCCAGGGTCTTGCATGCCAGCTCCCACTACCTACGTGTGTCCCCAGGCTCGGCCGCTCCCTCACTAACGTGCTGAGGGTCCTGTCAGCCCACCCCTTCTCCAGGCCACCCAGCCTGAAGTCTTCCCTCGGCCGCTCAGGGCCAGGAACTCCTAGAGCCCGCTCCCTGCCTGGGCCTCTCCTGGGGCCCTGCAGGATCCGGTCTTCTGTGGTCTTCGGTCTCAGACAGCACCAGCAGAGGGCTCCCCTGTCTCCACTCCGCCCAGGGCAGGCCACCAGAGAAGCTGCTGCCCAGCCTCCCAACTATTCCCACCCTCCCCTACCCCCCTGCCCTCCCCCTTCCTTCCCTCCCCTCCCAACCTCCTTCCCAGCCTCCCTCGGGGGGTCACCCTTGGTGAGGCAGCCCCCAGAGCTGGTCCACAAAACAGAAAAACAACTACCGGCAAACACAGACAGGGCGAAAAAACCACACACATCAGGGGCATTTCCGTCTACATGGTACCAAGGCTCCTAGGGGAAGGATGGCTGCGCTCGGCTGCTCAGCGCATTTGTGCTTGACGGTTCTCTTCGCCTTCCTTTCTCGCTACACATCAGTGTCACCAAGTGCCCACATTGTGAAAGCGCTGCATGCGTGTGCACATGTGCCCTCGCACACTTGTGGCCTTGTGTCTTGCACACAGTGCACACAAGAGCAGCTGAAGGGGATCATGGCAAGTCTGCCCCGACGCCAGTGACAAAGCGGTGGTTTGACTTGCGGCGAAGGAAGGAGGCAATGGAGAAGTCCCCCGTTCCCATGGGGTGTCTCCATGAACAGAGCCCCGACAGGCATGCGCATGAGTGTGGCGAGCACGCACACACAAACACACACTAGCTGGGGGCGGGCAAGGCCCTGGCCCCAGCAGGGCCACCTGGGCTCCCTGCAGGCTCAGACGGTGGTGACAGACAGCAGCGGGTTATAGACCCTCTTGCCATCGGCAGAGCGGGTACCGTGGGCCAGCATCTCCTGGATGGTGATCCAGTTGTCCAAGATCTTCTTGTTCCGCTTCTTCATGGTCTTGCGGTGGCTCAGGGCAATGATGTTGAGTTCGGCCTTACTCTCGCTGCTCTGCTGTTCACGCAGACACTCCAGACGGCTCTGCATCATGAACTCTCGCCGCTTTCGCTGTTCACGGGCTCGGATCAGGTGCTGCTTACGCTCTTCCTTGCTCCAGTAGCGGCCCATCTTCATCTCACTCACTGCATCGTCATCGGTTGTCATGCCGCTGCGTTCTTCCCGGATCTTCAGTGCCCGGGCCTTCAGGAGTCGGTCACGCACGGGCCGCTTGGCCACGTACCGGGTCCCGTCACTGCGGACCTTCACCTTCCACTCCATGCGGGGGGCTTCAGCACCCGGGGCAGCACCAGTCACCCGGGGGCCACCTGCCAAGCTCAAGGGGCCGTGGGCTAACTCCTCCAGGCCCCTCGCTGAGGCCAGCGACCCACAGCTTTGGAAGTACTCACTTTCCTGGCCCTGGGCACGATGGCGCCGGGACAGGTATGGGCTGCCCTCTGGGCCCACCCGCTCTAAGGTCACTCCCGTCTTGGGGCTACGGCGGACACGCTCCTCTGAATGCTGCCTACGGCCCGTCTCGGCCTCCCGGGTCAGGGAGCGGAACTTGGCAGGGCTCCCCTGTGTGGGGGATGCCTTGGGTGTGGCGGTGCCGGACGCGCTGGCTGCGGTCCGGTTCAGGTTGGAGTTGGCAGCAGTGGTGGTGGTGGTGGCGGCCCGTCTCAAGGGGCTCTCGGGCAGCGGCTCTGTGAGCAGAGGGGTGCTACGGCAGCTCTCCCCAGTGTTGTAGGCGCTAGTGCTGTCCTTGTCAGATTTCTCCGGCAGCTCAGAGATATCAGATAGCTCGTGCTTCGGGTGCTCGCTGGCCCCTAGGGCGTAGAGACCTTCCTCCTCGAGCAACCAGGCCTTCATGCAGCGCTCCCGCAGCTGCTGCATCTTCTGTGCCCGCAGGATGTTTCGGCACTTGAACTCCAGGTGGCGCAGCTCCTCCTCCAGCATGGCCATCTCGTGGCCCAGGCTCTCATTGCGGTTGACATCGAGCGCGCTAGTGCCCCCTGGGCCACGCGGGAAGAGCAGGCCCAGTGGGTTAGGGTTGCCGTTCTCCAAGTGGCCCCTGATCTCCAGGAGCTCCCGGTAGCGCTCACACTCCTCTCCAGTGAGGCCCGGGACATCGCCGGCACCCAGTCCGGCGCCCTCAGCCAGCACAGAGTCCGTGCTCAGGTGGAAGTCCCGACTCTGCAGAGCATCCCCCTGGAGGCCAAACTTGCGCAGGCTGCCAGGGGTGTTGGTGGTGCTGGGGGGCTCGTCACACAGGAGGTCGTGCTCAGAGCTCTCCTCATTGCGTGTGCTCTCGTCAGTCCGGCCCACCCCACTATCCAGCTCCTGGCTGTTGCTCAGGCCTGGGTCCCCGGTGGGAGCCCCCTGCTCCTCTTCATTCCCCACCTGGGGCAAAAAAGACAGTCCCCATTTGCCACCTCCTCAGCTGGCCCAGGGTCATGCCGGGCTAAAGCCCCCAGTTCCTTCCTCCTTCCCTCTGTCTGACTCACCGGTTGGGCAGGGGGGGATTTCAACTTCCGAGCCCGGGGATCCCCTTCATTCTCAGAGCCAAAGTCATCCAAGAAGTCATCTCGGTCGCTGTCCTTCCAGCGTCTTGTCAGCTGCAGCGACAGCAAGGTACTGCTGTCCCCACCACAGCTAGCACCCCCCCAGTTGCTCCCCGAGTGTGGAGAGTCCCAGCCCATACACCACCAGAAGCTGTCAGCCCTAGACAAGTGGCTGGACCCATCCCCAGCAGGCCTGCACACCTCGCTCTCGGGGCGGGCCAGCAGCAGGGCAATGTTGGTGTTCTCCTCCTGACTCAGGATGGCCACCGCCTCCTCCCGGTTCTGGACGTCCACACCATTAATCTGCGGCAGGTCCGGGGACAGTCAGTAAGGACACCAGCAACCCCCCA